TCCCTCCGGTTCTGCGGCCCGCCATTCCTTATGGACTCCCTCGAGGGAATAAACACTAGTGTGTTGGTATGTCCGTACTTGGGAGGAGAAGACACGCTTTAACTCTCTCTGATTAGGCACCCGCGGGAGCGAGGAAAGGAAGGGAAGAAGGGGCCCTCCCGAATTCGGGGAAGGGGGCCCACACATAGTAGCCTTTTTCAGGCATACGCGTGCTCCTGTCTACGTACCCCCCCGTGCTGCTAGCAGATCTACCATGCTCGTATCCAGACACACGAACAGGCTGTACTGGTATTGGTTTTTTATTGGCTGCACTTGCATACAAGTTTGGTTGGCTTGGCAGCAAGTTTCGCATGAAAGAACCACTGCAACAATACACTATGTTGCACAAATTTAGTCGCATCATTTGACACTCGTTGTTTGTTTCTCTCTTGGCTGCTTTCCGTCTCATTTTTTTTCCCAACAGCCAAAGACGACCAGAAGACCGCGTGGTACAGGCCAGACCAACACGTGGTCACCAAATAGTCCGAAGGCCAGGGCATCATGGTGTCAGGGACGATCATCCACAACGTTGGCTTCTTCTCTGCGTCGCCGGCCCAGATCAATAAGGCCGAGAGCAACAGGAAGTAACGATGCACCGACACAGCGGCTGCAGCTCGCCGGGGACACACCGTCAAAGAGGAGAAGTACCGGCCGATCGACATGCTGCACGTCGACGAGGCCGGAAACCACTGGTCCTACCACCTCTTCAAGTACGGCAAGAACAAGGATGGTTATTGGACTGGCCTCAAGATGCTTGACCACAAGTCGGATGTCCTCGACATGGTGACCGTCCTTTACCCTGAGCACAAGCCCGTGGGCCTGTTCGACTGGTCTTCATGCCACGACTGCAAGGAGGTTGGCGCGCCAATGGTTTCGAGGATGAACTTGGGCGTAGGTGGAACGAGGAAGGGGGAGGAGCTAGCCCCGATGGATCCCGTGGTAATTCTGGAAGACACCCCGTTGCTCAAGAAAGGCACGGTACAGCACTTGGTATTTCAACGCGGGGACGACCCGCCCTTCGCTTCTCCGGATCTCCTACCGGCGGAGTACGAGGGCAAGCTCAAGGGGATGCGCCAGATCTTGGCAGAGAGAGGCCTTCTGAAGAAAGGCATGTTACACCGTCAAAGAGGAGAAGTACCGGCCGATCGACATGCTGCACGTCGACGAGGCCGGAAACCACTGGTCCTACCACCTCTTCAAGTACGGCAAGAACAAGGATGGTTATTGGACTGGCCTCAAGATGCTTGACCACAAGTCGGATGTCCTCGACATGGTGACCGTCCTTTACCCTGAGCACAAGCCCGTGGGCCTGTTCGACTGGTCTTCATGCCACGACTGCAAGGAGGTTGGCGCGCCAATGGTTTCGAGGATGAACTTGGGCGTAGGTGGAACGAGGAAGGGGGAGGAGCTAGCCCCGATGGATCCCGTGGTAATTCTGGAAGACACCCCGTTGCTCAAGAAAGGCACGGTACAGCACTTGGTATTTCAACGCGGGGACGACCCGCCCTTCGCTTCTCCGGATCTCCTACCGGCGGAGTACGAGGGCAAGCTCAAGGGGATGCGCCAGATCTTGGCAGAGAGAGGCCTTCTGAAGAAAGGCATGTCGAGGATGGGAGGCACGGGCGAGAACAAGGATCTGAGCATGAGCATGGAGCATGTTCTTGGAGAGCAGAAGGACCCTAAGGAAGTTGAATCTAGTCTGGTGTTGTTGATGGCGCGCCACGGCGGGATCTGCTTGATGCTTCCGAATCACTGCGAGTGCAACCCTATCAAGCTCGTTTGGGGCCGTGCCAAGCAGTGGACGCGCAAGAACTGCACGTATTCCTTGGAATGCTTGCGCAAAAACGTGCCGCTGAGCTTTAAAGCAGAAAAGGATAGGCAGGCCGAAAAGTAGTCCAGGGGTACTGCAAGAAAGCGTACACGCATGCGCTCGTGTACCTCGAGACGAAGGCCCTAGGGGCTGATGCCAAGCAAATCTACAAAAAGTACAAGTCGCACAGCAGGCGCATGACGCCGAAGGACTGGCGCCCGACAGAGAACTGAGCGTCAATTGTGATATTTTCAGTGGATTCGCCCCCACTTGTCTTGCATTTTTTGGGCGAAAATGTACATGAAAGGCGTACTCACGCATGTATTTTTAGACGAGAAGTAGTTGCAGGGCTACGGGTGTGGGTAGAAGCGTTCATACATGGTATGGGGCATCTTTGTTCACTGTAAACGTGCATTTATGGGAGAAAAAAAAAATTACCTCCAAAAATATTTCAAAACACCCACGTCACGGGTTCGAGCCCCGGTTTGGGACAACATTTTTTTTTCCTTCTGGCTTCGCTACCCTTCTGCGCGTGGCCGCGGGCGTTCATGATATGTTTTTCTTTTTTATTTCCTCAATTTCTATCAAAAGTTATGGAGGGACAACCAAATACAGGCCCATGACTATTTCCACTTTACACCCAAACAGCCAAGCGAGTAGTGAGACGAGGAGCTAAACCAAACCATGAGAGGAACTCCCCTCAAGATTTTATTGTCTAGACTGTAACCACGCAGCTTTAGCCACGACCTGCGAACTACGGTATCTATGCAGACATACACCGAACATCACTTCTCATTTGTCATCTCTCGAACGACAAGCAGGAGAGAAGCGAGAGGCTAGACAGCAAAACAATCCACCGGTTCTCTGTACACGACCGCGGACGAAATCGGCGCATAAAAAACACGAGCTCTGCGCCACCCCCCGCCTTTCTCGTTGTGCCTGGCAGTTCAACACCTTTTAGACCGGTAACGCTCGAACGGGGCAGCAATCGTTTGCATGCGNCCCCCCCCCCCCCCCCCGTCGGCGCAATCACAAACGCTTGAGCCAGCTGTATCAAAATGGCCCCGACATGGGCCGGCTGCTCCTACGTACGTGCCGCGAGTGTATTGTCCGTCTATTCTTCCCAAGTCGTACAGACTATACGTTTAAAGACAAGATGGCGAGGGGCGGTGCATGGAATGCAAACATATGCACATGCATGCCAGCTCGACCGTTTGACAACTTTGAGTTCAGATTGGAAAACAATAGCACAAGGTTACGGAGTACGAATATTGCTGACAACAGCCCGCTACCATTAATTTGTTATTGTTGTTTCTCACATTAGCTCTATAGTCCACAAAGAATGGTGAGCCCGTGGTCTCAAAACCCGGAACATACGACGCCGCGGGGAAACAAAACAAAAATAGGGTACAAACCGCTCGGAGAAAGAAAACAACAGCCACCGCACGAACCGCTCNAAAGCGAGATCACGGTACCCAAAACAGCAGAGTACGCGCGGAGGACATGAAAAAAAAGAAACACAGAAACACAGCACAGAGGCCGAAGGCAACACAAAGGACAAACATAAAGGAGTATAGCATACAGCAAAGAGGGTNCCCTCGGAAACCGATCAAAATAAAACAAAAACAAAAAAAAAGGAGGACGCGTCCCACACCCGCCCAAAGAAAAAATCAAAGGGTAACGTACAAGCACCAGGCACCACGCACCAGGGCATGGGAGTAACGGAGCAAACAGGACAAAGAGGCGGCAGATGGGCAGACAGCCAGATGTACAAAACAAAAGCCACAGCAAAAGCGAGATCAAGGTACCCAACACAGCAGAGTACGCGCGGAGGACATGAAAAAAAAGAAACACAGAAACACAGCACAGAGGCCGAAGGCAATCCAAAGGACAAACAAAAAGGAGTATAGCATACAGCAAAGAGGGAAACAGGGCGCAACAGCATCAGCCGGGTACATTGTTCGCCACAAGTGCTGCCTCGGCCGCCCTACTCGCTTCTACAGCAGTGCCCGGTCGCCGTTTCTCCCCCCCACCGCCACTTCCCCGACTCTCTTTCTCTTCGGTCCTGACGTGGCCGTACTCTCTGCTTCTGCTTGCCTCGCGCGCTGGCGCTTCGCGGACGCTTCCGCCTCCTGCCTGTGCCATTTCCTCATGAACCATGCCGCCCCGTCCTCGACCTTGTTGTACCACACCTCCGGGTCNNACCATCAGTCCGAACAGGCCGGCCACGCGCACGATGACCGACATCATCTTCTCGAGACTCTCCGGCGAGCGCGAGACGATGGCCGCGTCGTCAGCGTAGAGTATGGCCCACAGGGCCTCCGCGTCCGTCGCTACCGTCGTCTTCTTCCCCGCCGACCTGCCCTTCTTGCCCGTGTACTCCATTTGTGTCCCGATCTTGACCATGTCCGCCGTCACCTTGGGGTCCTTGTCGAACTCGGCCACGGCGACCATGAGCATCGCGGCAAAGAACAAGTTGAACAGCAGCGGGGCCAGGTTGCATCCCTGTCGGAGGCCTTGGCCCACGTCGAACCATTCCGAGTACTGCCCGTCGTCCGTTCAAACGCGCGCCCTCATGCCCTCGTGGAAGTGGCGAATGACCGCCAGCATCTTCGGGGGCATGCCGAAGCGTCGGAGCACGTCCCACAGTAGGTCTCAGTCCACCGAATCGTATGTCTTGGTGAGGTCGACGTGTGTTCGCGTGGTTTACAAACACCACAGGATATTAAAGCCCGATTCCTGCCCAACAAACCACGCGCTCTTGCCCACGCAACAGCAGTAGCACACTAGCGAAGCTTTGGCGACCTGGCACTACCGGCGCAACAACGTACATCCTTTTAGGAGCTCCACGGGTTCATACAGCAGCCTGACTATGTTTAAACTCTACTGTCGTGCCTTCTCAGCAGCAGCAGCAGCAGCAGCAGCAGCAGCAGCAGCAGCAGCAGCAGCAGCAGCAGCAGTAACAGTACTCGGAGGGGAAGAACGTTCCTGGGACCGGACCGAGGGGAAGCCGTTGATCGGAGTCGTCCCCGCTGGTTGTGACAGAGGCGGTTGCGGAGACGAGGAAGAAGTAGGCGCGCCTGTTGATCCCCCCGCTCCGCCGCCGCCGCCGCCTCCGGCTGGGCGAGAGGTGAACGGTGTGATGCTAGGACTCCGTGCCGGTTGGCGCAGCCTGAGCTTGCTCACGCTTCCTACGCGCCGGTGATTGCCACCGCCGCCGCCGCCCGAGTCTACAGATAGCGACGACGATGACGGGGGTCGCTGCGGGCAAGGAGACACAAACGAGGGCACCGTGAAATGAGAAGAAGGGCCCGAACGACCAAAAACGAGGACTTCTGATTGGCTGCACGAACGTTGATGACGATTCAGACCGGCTGGCTGGCACGAGCAAATGCAGAGGGTGGTGCAGGCTGTGTGTTTGCCCGCGGAGAGCATTACTTGCTGTAAGAGGCCCATAGAGGCACCCACTAGCGTCGTGGTGACGACAGCAGCATCGGGTTCCAGTATTCAGCATCGAAAAAAAATGGCTGATCGAGAACAGGGGGGGCGCACACCACAAAAACAGAGCTAATGAGTACCCAGGGAAGGGTAGCCCGACATCACAGAACGCTCAACATCGTTCTACGGGCGGCCCGGATACAGCAGTAGTTCTAGCGTCGTAATATTTTACCCTCTCCATGCGATGGCTTGATTTCGGTGAGGGGTAAACACTCGCCCAACAAGCGGGCACTCGTTGCCCGTAGCGAATCGCTCGCGCGAGTGAACCACACGGAAGGGTGGGCCTCTCGGGTCATACGTGCTGATGTACTCCAGAGCATCATATCTTCCGTCGCTCCCACGCCCGACAACCCCAACCCTTCTCAAATCGGTTTTCAAGTCCGTGCCATTCACTTGTAACACTACAGAAGTCCCCCCCACCCGAGTCAGCCGACCAATGACGAAACCACAGCGTGGCTCCGACCTTTCACAACGATTGCTGCATACTGGATGCAATCAACCCTCAAAACCACAACCATCCCCCCACCTCACCTGCTGAGAAGCCTTCGGCCTCGAGGTTCCGCACAACTCGCACGTTGTCCTGCGGGCCTTGTTCGTCAGGGTGCACGCAACGCACGTCCACGTCGTCGCTACCGTCACCGCCTTATTCCCTCCCGTGCCTCCCGCGTTCTCAACGTCCAGGGGCGCCGACGCCACTCCCTGAGATAAGTCGATGGTCGGCAGGGAAGACAATCGATCCCACGTACCCCCCCCCCCGCCGCCACCCCCGCGGTGATCGTTGCTGCTGCTGCTGCTAGACCCGCCGAGCACAGCCTTGGCCACGGTTGACAGGGTCGTCGACGCCTCAAGCGGCGACCCTTGCTGTGTGTCCTGCGCTTGCTCTCCTCGGCCGTTGCGCCTTGGGTTGGGCCCCACCACCGCCGCCGCCGCCGCCGCACCGCCGCTACCGGTAACGGCATTCACTGCTGTCGTTGAGGACGGGGGGGAGCATGATTCACTGGCTGCTGTTACGGCCGGCTGTTCTCGCTCCCCCGCGGCCCCTACCGCGGAGGTAGCCTCTGACATCCTCGCCACCGTCACTGCCGCGTTGATATCCGCGTCCATGTTGCTGCTGTTGTGGGAGAAGGCGGAAGCCGCCGCCGGGTTGCTGCCGTTGCTCTCCACGTCCATGTTGCTGCTGCAATGGGAGAAAGCGGGAGCCGCCGCCACGTTGCTGTTGTGGGAGGAGGCGGGAGCCGGTACCGCGCCTGCCGCCGCCGCTACAAACCTGTGGGAAGGGACGAACACGAGGTAGTCCCCCGCGCTTTCCGCTTGGTCCGCCAGGGCCACCAGCTCCGCGGGCGGCTCCCGCACGGTCTCCATCGTCGCGGTGTTGAGGTAAACCGGCCCTTGGTCCGCTCCCGGTTCTCGCACAGGACGTGCTGCCTCCTCTTGACCTCCACCTCTATCCCTACCCTCGCCGCTCCCTCCAAAACCAGCGCGTCCGTCTTCTGCTGCTGCTGCTACGACTGACAGCTCTTGTGTCGTTTTGCTCCCGCTTCTACCGTCACCGCCGACCGTCGCGGCAGCGCCGACGCCGCTGCCGTTGCTCTCGCCGACCCCGTTGCTGGCACAGCCGCCGTTTCTCTCGACACCGTAACCGCCGGCAGAACGCAAGGCCCGCTCTCCCGCGCTCTTGCATCCTTCCGTCCGTCGCATCACGCCGGCAGCGGTGCAGTCGCTGCGCACCTTTCCAACCGAAGCCGACGGTTGCATCACGCCGGCAGCGGCGGCGGCTTCAGCAGTGCCGTTGTTACGCACCTCTCCCACCGAAGCCGACGGCTGTCGTCCTTGCGAGAAGATACACCGCCAGGGCCCGCGGGTACGGACCAGCCTCCCCGCCACGCCGAGGATCTGTCGCCGTCGTGGAAACGGAATGGATTTGACCAAGTAAGAGCCGCGTTGAGGGTCACGGGACCACGCGTGCGCGAGCGTTGAAGACGTAGTGGAGAAAAAAACCGTATCTTACAGGAAACACAATGTTGCCCTCGGTGAAACAGAGATGTTGGAAACCGCATGAAGACAGAGCATAGGATCGCCTTTGAGAGCTTCAAACACAGACGACGGTCCAAGGACGCACATACCTCAGCAGCGTCGCCTGCCGCGTCGTTTCGGGAAGCAACGCCACCGACGACCGAGCTTCGACCGACAAGGCTGCGGCAGCCGCCTGCATCATTCCTCATGACGTTACCGCCACCGCCAACAATACCGGCACTATTCACGGTTCGGCCGCCGCCGCCGCCGCTGCCGCAGTCTAAATCCTGGCAGACGCGGGCCCTTTTGTTTTCACTGCTGCCACCGCCATCGGAGCAGGTGCTGGTGCTCGGTCTCTTCTTGGCTTTCTGAAAAAACAGCAAGAAGTGCCGGGTGTGGGGGTGGGGGGAGGGTCGGTCGAAATGGGCGAGCTGCGTGCACAAAAAAAGGCAATGAAGTGCAAAAGGGGCTCGATCTGAATCGTGGGGGGGGGGGGGGGGGGGGGGGG